TGTGTGATACTAATTTTTTAAATTACATGCACTCTGCCTATATGTGCAGTATCTTCCTATGGGAGAATTCTCCCCAGCCCCACTCCTGTTCCTTGTCTTACTTTTCAGATTCAGTGAATGGCTTTAGAGGTTTTTGTTGTTGTTGTTGTTGTTTGTTTTGGTGGTGGTGCTGAGGATCAAACCCAGGACTTAATGCATGCTAGGCAAGTGCTCTACCACTGAACCACATCACCAATCCAAACTTTAGAGGTTCCCTGTGGCTTCATATTCATACTAATCACATATTTTCAGTTACTCATTTTTCTAGTTTTTACTAGCTAAATATCTTTTGATTGTAAGTGCTTTTCCCAGTTCATGCTTCTAATTGGCTGCTCTGACCTAGTGTCTGTTCTCCTCTAGTTGACAAACTACTACCTCTGGGCAAATGTAGCTGGAACCCTCTTGGTATGCTTGCTCTGAAACCACACTCCTAGCTCAGCTGTGATCTTCATAGTATGACTTCTGGTTACCTTTCTAGTTTGCTTCCTTCACCCATTCCTTGTTCCCTTTTTGTTTCTGCTCTGTGCTTTAGGCCTCCTGAACTTTCTTCAGTTTTTGTCACCATTTCACTTACTTCTGGGTCCTCTCATATGCTTTTCTTGATTTCCCCTTCTTGCTATGTCCCATAACCAACTTGAAAAGTCTTGTACATCTATCCTTCAGTTCTTTGTTTAGATATTACTTGCCTTTGGAGGTCTTTGACTTCTTGAATGTGAGAAGGTGCCCTCTATGCTCCTTCCTGTGTTGCTGCAATTGCCTTGTGTTTGTTTTGTTGTTCATCATCTGCCCTAGGTCAGGGGTGAATTCTCTTTTTTATGCCAGAGAGTATAGTAGTTTGATTCTTTTAATGGCAATAAAATGAAATTTTCAGCCCCCTAGGAAATAGGCATTATAGGGTTTCACTTGTCTTTAATTCCCTATTAAATACAAAGTCAATAATATTGTTACAATAACTTCAGTGTTTTTGTCTCTCTGCTTAAAAGAAGGAACTTCATTCGGGTACTGAGCTCGTGATGATATTGCATAGTTATGTTGGGGCTTAATAACAAGTGACAGCTGAGTATGGCCTACAGTTGGGGTCCTCAGAGAAGTTCCAGGCTGGCACTTAGGCAACTAGTATAGCAGTATCCAGAATTTTGCCTTGAGCTTCTAGGATAAAGGTTGTGGCCCATAAGGAAATCCACTCACAGCTCTCCAGATGTTATTCCTATTAAATTTCGAAGTCAAGCTGTCTTGTTTGATCTTAAACAAAACCTCTTTCTTTATTGATTAGGGATGCATTTTTACCATAGAGTGAAAGCAGGATAATGTCATGGTTAAGAACACATCCTTTGGAATGTAGATGCCTGGGTTGGAATCTCTGTGCCTTGGTTTTTCATCTATAAGGTGAGGATAACATAGGTGTATATCTCACAGGACAGCTGCAAGGATGAAATGGCTTAAAGAAACTAATATAAATATTTGTAAAGTGCTTTAAATAGTTCCTGGTTCTTGCTTCTTCTAATTATATGTATTACACAATGTGTAGGATACAGCAAGGAATCTAAAACAAAAGCATGCCGTATGTTTCTCTCTGTTCAACATATACAAAAGTATATGAGTTCCTTCTCTTTAGGGAAGAAAAAATGGTAGGGGAGATTCAGGGCATTTTCCTAAGAAACCCTCATAGATTTGGCTTTGTTATTTGTTTTCCTTTCTATACTGTGCCTTCTTTGAAGATAGAGCCATGTTTTGAGTTACTTATTATTTTATGTTTAATAAGTAGAGAAGCTGGCATAAAAAATAAGCATGTTGAATATTTGTTGACTATTTTTGTTGCTAAGGGAAGTTTGCATACTTTGGTATTTACCTCTAGTAAATGTTAATCCTAATTCTATAATGTTATAGGTAAAAAGTGTAAAAAGTGAAGAAAGTAGAAAAAATATTTTGACTCTAAAGTGAAAAGCACTTGAAGCTCCTTTATTTAGAATGCTGTATTCCACCACATAATTGTTTCCACCACATTAACGTATATTTGAGTATCACATGCATCCTACTTTTGCACTAAAGACAGTTTAGTGATGAATGATTTAAAAATTTTTTCATTTCTTTTTTTAAGAAAATTGTTCTTTTTAGACATATATGACAGTAGAGTGTATGTTGACATATACACACGTGGAGTTTAACTTATTCTAATTAGGATCCCATTCTGTGGTTGTACAGGATGTAGAGTTACACTGCTTGTGTATTCATATATGAGCATAGGAAAGTTCAGTCTGATTCATTCTACTATCTTTCCTATTCCCATCCTTACTCCCTTCCCTTCATTCCTCTTTGTCTAATCCAATGAACTTCTGTTCTCCCCCCAGCCTTATTGTGTTTTAGCATCTGCATATCAGAGATATCAGGAATTGACTTATTTTACTTAGCATGATAGTCTCCAGTTCCTTCCATTTACTGGCAAATGACATAATTTCATTCTTCTTTATGGCTGAATAATATTCCATCATGTGTGTGTGTGTATGTGTGTGTGTGTGTGTGTGTGTGTATCACATTTTCTTTACTCATCTGTTGAAGGGCACCTAGGTTGGTTCTCTAGCTCAGCTATTGTGAATTGAGCTACTGTAAACATTGATGTGGCTGTGTCACTGGAGTATGCTGATTTTAAGTCCTTTGGATATAAATACCAAGGAGTAGAATAACTGGATCATTCCAAGTGCTCCAAGTGTTCTGAGGAATCTCCATACTGCTTTCCAGAGTGGGTGTACCAATTTGCAGTCTCACCAGCAATATATGAGTGTATCTCTTCCCCCACATTCTTGCCAACATTTATTGTTACTGTATTCTTGATAATTGCCACTGATGAATGATTTTTAAGTAATACTGGCATAGTTTTTTAAACAAAGTTTCACTGTAATGGGCACACCTCACTTTTTGGTTAAAAAATTTCGTAAAATCTACAAGGATTATGTGGTGAATGTGGTGGGGCTGATGCAAATGTACACAAGGTTTATGTCTATTAGTGTACAATACAGCAGTTTTTTTTTTTTTTACTTTTTACATTTTAATTTCTGATTTTGAGTATAGTATAATTGTTATTCCAATGAAAAAGTACTCTTATATAAGTAGACATGCTTCTTCAAAGGATTTTTTCCCTCAAGATGTCTTATTTTCAAAATTCAACTTAGATTTTATGTACAATTTAGGGTTTTGGGATATTTTTCTGAATAATCTATAGCATATGGTTGAGTTGACTAGAAACAGGGTTCACTTGAGAGAAATTACATTTATTAAACAGCTAAAAATCAATACCAACTCAATGTCTTATAATGGATAAATAGAAAATTACTGTAAGCTTTAATTTTTACATTAATTTTCAACTTTACATTAAGTTTTAATATTAGATTAAATAGCTAATTTTAAAAACATGATTAAGAATTAGCATGTACAAGTTCTGATTGAGCATGAAATTAAAATTCATATTTTAAGAGTTTAATTTATTAGTAGTAATAAAGCAAAACTGTTAGACAAATAGGAGTTTGAAACAGTAACAAAAGATAATTTCATACATAATTCATAATATATATGGCAAGGTCATTATGACTTTCAAATTCTGAGTTTTTCTGTAAAAACATGCTAATGAATTGAGTTAATGCCACAGTTTTGAAGCAATAATTGTCAACTTAAGAAACATTAGAGGGGCTGAGGATGTGGCTCAGTGGTAGCGCCCTCGCCTGGCATGCGTGCGGCCTGGGTTCGATCCTCAGCACCACATACAAATAAAGAGGTTGTGTCCACAGAAAACTAAAAAATAAATAAATAAATTAAAAAAAAAAAAAGAAACATTAGAAATTGGGAATGTAACAAGTATACTGCAGAGATTCTGTAGCGCATTTATCTAATGAATATAGAATCTACTAATACAGTTCAACTTATTTAATTTGAAATGGTAGAAGACTGAGGCTGTGAAAAATGTTCTTTAAAAAATTCATAACTGGAGGGTAGGATTAATTCATTTTCAGACATGCCAGGACTCAAAAATTATCTTCTGTGACTGTTTTCTCAGGAAGCTACTGAAGGATGTCTTCTAAGAAGACATGGGAGCTGGGTGTGGTGGAACATACCTGTAATCCCAGCTACTTGGGGACTGAGGCAGCAGTGTAGCAAGATTGAGGCCCTCCTGGATAACTTAGCAAGACTCTGAAAAGTAAAAAGGGTTGGGGATGTGGCTCAGTGGTAGAGAGCTTGCCTATAATGCGTAAGACCCTGGGTTTGATCCCCAGCTCTTGGGCAGGGTTGTGGGAATGAGATATGGGGAATATGTGGTTCACCACAGAGAGAGTTGAGGGGAACTCTCAGGATGAGAGTGAGAAGACCTGGGATTGTAGCTGAGCAGCAGGCTCAGGGAGCAACTAACTAGTTTAATTGGAACAGAAAGATAGAAGGCTTTGGGAAGGGTGTTATGAGGAATTGTTTAAAAATAAATTCTAGCATTTATTTACATTTGGATAATTTTCTATCATTTATTTAAATTTAGATAATGACAAATATTTTGACTGATCTTATAGAGCAAATGGAAGAATATAAAATATAGCTTGTGGGGAACATATTTAACTGTGATCATACAATTAATACTGATTATGATTTATCAAGAATCAAACAAGTATATTGTAAGGATATACGTTTTGGGGGTACAAATTAGAATGTGGAGATTAGTGGTCTAAGAGTTTTAGTCTCACATAATATATTAAGTCAGTAGATGATTTCTAAAAGCTTGTATATTATTTGATACGACTAAAAACTAAAACATTAATGATGAGTTTCTTAAAGGAACATTAATTAGGATTAAAATGTCTATAGTAAAAGCTGTCAGATATAGGAAAAAAGAAAAAAGAAACATAAGTTTATCTTTTGTACTTAAAAGGACTCCTTTTTCTTTGTTTATTTCTTTTTCTTTTCTTCTTTTTTTTTTTTAATCTTAGGGCTTCAAAAACAAACCAAAAAAGATGGGTCACATAAAGCCAGACTTGATTGATGTTGACTTAATTAGAGGTAAGTTTGTTTCTTGTGCATGTTGTTATGTTATTTCATAGTGGAACTATGGATTAGTTTTAGATACCTTTTCTATTTGATGGTATACTTCAATTTCTAAGTAAAATTCTTTACTCATTTTGTGGACTTTAATCTTTTTTTACCCTTTGCCTTAGAACTGGGTGGTTATGTAAATTACATGTTTTCATAAAGTTGAAAGAGGGTTGAACTTATTGACTTGCTGTTGTGTAATTAAGAAAAACATATTATTTAACATTCAAGTGACCTGGATTATTTTGAGATCCTGTCCTAGAGACTGAGGTAAGAAGTTATTACATGTAATGACCATTGAGTTTTTTTGAACTGAACATATTATGTACTGAGTTGTGTTCTCACCCGTTTTTGGTTTTTTTTTTTAATATATTTTTTTAGTTGTTGATAGAACTTTATTTTTTATTTATTTACATGTGGTGCTGAGAATCAAACCCAGTGCCTCACAAATGCTAGGCAAGTGCTCTACCACTGAGCCAGCACCCCAGCCCGCTCTCACCAGTTTTTGATGTGGTGCTACAATAGGCCAAAAGTCTAGTGTATATAAATATTTCTTGTTTTATTGTATATTTAAAGGCTCAACATTTGCCAAAGCCAAACCCGAAATTCCATGGACATCTCTAACTCGGAAGGGGCTTGTTCGAGTTGTATTTTTCCCATTGTTCAGCAATTGGTGGATTCAGGTCACGTCCTTAAGAATCTTCGTTTGGCTGCTACTGCTTTACCTCATGCAAGGTAATTGGAAGAGCTGGAATAAACTATGACAGTTTCTTTTTTGCTGCTTTTGCTGTGATGGAAGGAAGACCTGTTATTCTTACCATTACCCTTTCATTTGATGGTTGAAAGTACAAAGAAATGAAGGGACTTACCTATTTTGGGAATCATCTTAAAATTTGATCTGAGAGAACAAACATATGATTATTTTTTTATTTAAAAATTTTTTTTCAGTTGTAGATGGATATAACACCTTTACTTTATTTATTTTTGTGTGGTACCAAGGATTGAACCGACTGTTCTCTCTTCAGTGTATACATTGCATTCCAGGGATATTTTCAGAAAGTGGGCTCTTTGGACTGTGGTTACATGACTTATAATAAAGGGAAGGTTGGGTGACATGAAGGAATTATGGGTGCTTATATTTTCTTTTGTCTTTCCAGTTAAAAAAACACTAAGTTATAGAGGGAAAAATATATGTGAATTTTAAATCTATAAGTTTGACATTGTTGTTCAACAGTTTCTTTTTTTAAATATTTTTAGTTGTAGATGGACACAGTAACTTTATTTTTTTATGTGGTGGCAAGGAGTGAACTCAGTGCCTCACACATGTTAGGCAAGCGCTATAACTCTGAGCCACAACCCCTGCCCTTAGAGTTTCTTTAAGGAAATGTTCTGTCTCTGTGCTACCCAGTACAGCGGCTGCTTAACCACATGTGGATACGAGTACTCAACATGTAGTGTTAATAAAGAATTGGATTTTGATTTTATTTGCTTTTAATGATCTTTTTAATGGTTGCATAATATCCTACTATATGGACATACCATCATTTAATAGTACTGTTTACTGTTTGTATTGCAGTCTATTAACATTTACTACGAACACCTTTTTATAGCTACTTATTATTATAATAATACCATAATTTACATAACTTTTCTGCCTTAGTATATTCAGCCTGCTACAACAAAGATATGATGGCCTAGGTAGCTTTTAAACAACACAAATTTATTTCTGATAGCTTTAAGGCTGGGAAGTCCAAGATCAAGACATTGGAAGATTCTGCCTTCCACAAAACGGCAGAATACAATTATAGCTCATGGAAGTTCTTTGCTACTCTATAACAAGGATTGTTTTCTTCATTTTCCAATAACATGTTATTTCTTGTTTCCATCCAATACCTCACTGGAATGGCCTGTACCCCACATTGTACCAACATTCTCTTCATGGTTACTTAGGTATTCTCCGAGAAAGTCAAGGCTTTTTCTATTATTTTCCTCTTTCCCTTCTGATCCTTCCAAATTCTTTTATGGAGATCAAGGCTTTTCTGTAGACTGTTTAAAAATCTTTCTGGAGATCAAGGCTTTTCTATAGACTGTTTAAAAATCTTTCTGGAGATCAAGGCTTTTCATTAGACTGTTTCTTAAGACTCTTTGAACCTCTAACCATTCATAACTCAGTTTTAAAGTTGCTTCATGTTTTCAGGTATTTATTATAGTAGCCTCTGACCCCATTTTTCCATACCAATTTCTGTCTTAGACTATTTTGGTTGTTTTAACAAAAATACCCTGTTGCATGTAAACAACAGAAATTTTTTTCTCGAAGTTCTGGAGACTAGAAAGTACAAGATCAAGTCCCCATCAGTTCATGTTGGTGAAGACGTGCTTGTATGCAGTTTTCTCACCACATGGCTTATAAATTCTTACCGGAGCACTAATTTCATTAGTGGTAGAGTCCTCTTGGCAAGCTCTTCTTTTGCTGTATTTTCAAATTTACTTTGATAATAATGGTATCTCAATCAATCATTCAACAAATACTTAGTGCCTACTGTGTGCCAGGTACTAATCCAGGCCAGTCACTGAACACAGTCACTTTTTAAAAGTGAATTTATGTCCACATTCACAAGTCAGCAAAGTCTATAGTTGATTGTTCTGATGACATCATTGTATGTTGGGCTAGTGGGTTTGATCCCCAATACTGGGACGGATAGGAGGAAAAGAAAAGAAAAAAGCATTCTTTTGGAAACTCAGCCTTAATCAAAAGTATTGAATCCACTATGTATCCATCTGTGTATCCCATAGAGTTACTATTATGATAAAGTCTGAAAGAACTTGTCTATAAAATTGTAAATGGACATTTTAGAGAGAGTTTTTTTTATGTTTTCCTATTTCTTTCATTATTTATTTATTTGAACATTTCATATACATATGCAAAGAGGCAATATGATATGGTAGTTAAGATGGTAGATTCTGGAGCCCAAATGCCTGAGTTCAAATCCCAGCTTGGCCTATTGCTTTCTTTGTAACCTTGGGTCTTGGAATATATTTTAGAGCAGAACAGCACTGCAAAATTCATGTTTTATGGAGCCTTCAGTTCTGTGGTGGAAACTCTTTTGGAATACATAGATGATTGTGCTGCCAGAAAGGCAAATACTTTCAATATGTTAGTCTTCATTTATTTGACAACTGATGGCTTCGTATTTTCACCAAGCTAATATTTAGCAGGTGGATGGTATTCCAGGAAGTTATTTACTTTTGAATTCTCTTTAAAATGATAGATTGTAAAAATAGTTTGTATAGATACTAGCATTCATTTTACTTATTTTTGGTATCAGGAATTGAATCCAAGAGTTGATCTCCAGCACTTTTAAAAAAAATTTTTATTTTCAGACAGGGTCTTGCTAAGTTGCTTAGTATTCATTTTAAAAATGAACTCTTAATGTTTTACATTTTAAAACCTCTTTCCAGTTATAGGGATTGTGTTGTATCTTATGATGCCTATTGTGAACGTAAGTGAAGTTCTTGGACCCTTGTGCCTTATGCTACTCATGGGAACTGTCCACTGTCAAATTGTATCTACTCAGATAACAAGACCATCTGGAAACAATGGAAATCGGAGGAGAAGGTACGATGAGAAATTACCCTGTAGTTATGTATTTTCTGGGAGAGGTATTGTAGAGAGTTATAAAATTTTGATTAAATTAATTTAAAAATTTTTTTCCCTCTTCTCTATATATTTTGCACCAATTTTTGGCTTTTTAAAAATGAATGCTTATTCACTTTTCTCCTGATGGTTAAGAAATCTTATTAATTTTTAATCTCATGTGGGATTTTATCATTTACTTCAATTGTTTAAAAGGAAAATTCCTAACTGTGTTATTCCTTATTAAAGTTTATTTTAAATAATGGTTTTGAGAAAGCATTCTGGGGCTAGAGTTGTAGCTCAGTGGCAGAGCGCTTGTCTAACATGCATGAGGCCCTGGATAAATTCCCAGTGTTGTGGGGTGGGGGGAGGCATTTTCTTTAAAATTTGGCTTTAATCAGAATTTGTTGAAAATTTACTATCAACAAGGATGTCGGTACATTAGATTGGTGCTACCAAATTTTTTACTTTTTTTTCAAAAGTGCATAACAGTTGATTTCAAGTGGTCTAAACTTTTAATTAAAATTGATTTGAATTTTTTACACATTCTTGTCAAGTTTTTACTATGTGATATATGCAGGGAACTGCTTAAGTTTTCTTAAGTATATTCAGGATATCTCTAGGTTTTTGCTTCCCTGAGAAATTACTAAATAAGATTTTTCTTATTTTTATTTATTTAGTAATCCATTTGGTACAATGGATTACAACATTTTCTTATTCCACTCTCCCTTTTTTTGTGGTGCTAGGGATCAAACCCAGGGCCTTATGCACTCGAGGTAAACACTCTATACCCTAGCCCAACATGTCCTTGTGCTTTATCTCATTGGTATTTGTAGAATATATCATTTAACTATTGTTAGTGTTGTCCTGATTAAATGTGCAAAAGGATGTTAGTTTTCTAACATCCATATTTATAGAAATGGCTTTTCTGCTATTGTGTGTCTGATAAGACTCTTGGTCCTAACATGTGAAAAAATGTTTTCTTTGTGACTAAACAAAATGATAGCATAGTACTTTTTTTTTTTTTTTTTTTTTTAGAGAGAGAGTGAGAGAGGAGAGAGAGAGAGAATTTTTTAATATTTATTTTTATTTTAGTTTTCGGCAGACACAACATCTTTATTTGTATGTGGTGCTGAGGATTGAACCCGGGCCACACGCATGGCAGGCGAGCGCGCTACCACTTGAGCCACATCCCCAGCCCCTTGAATCTGTTTTTATCCTTAAAAAAGAAATGTTCTTGGTAGTGACTCAGTGGTAGAGTGCTCGCCTACCACACATGAGGCACTAGGTTCAAACCTCAGTACCGCATAAAAATGAAATAAAAATATCGTGTCCACCTACAACTAATAAATAAATAAATAAAGGTTCTTATATAATTTATACTAAGTATATGAAAATAATTACCCTGATTTCAGGGAATCGTCTATTAGCATAATTTTCTATATGGATATTATGGGTATAAATGGAAAAGCTCTTGAATAATCTGAAAGTGTGGGAAAATGTTTTTTGTAGAAAATTACGAAAAACTGTAAATGGTGATGGAAGCCGAGAAAATGGAAGTAACTTCTCTGATAAAGCCAGAGGACTAGAAACTTCAGAATCTGCACCCATTATTGGTGGCTTTTGGGGGACTCTCTTTGGCAACAGGTGGGAGTCTTGCATTAGAATTTTTACTTGATTCTGCATTCACATAGTGAATAGTGTTTATAGGCTATATAATACAATTTAGCCATAGGAATAAGTAGTATTGGCATGTTATCTTTGCTCTGTGATTTTTAAGTGTTCTAGAAGGATTAGCCTACTCAAAATGTTATCTGCAATGTCTTTCATCATACCTGTAAATCCAGTAATCTACCATTAAAGTTTCATTTTATTTGATTTTAATGGTTTTTTAGACCACAAGATTATAAAAGTATAAATACTCTGAAAAGGTAATATTTTAAGCCATATCAGCCAACATTTTGAGAGAAAAAGGAATTTAAAAGGATCAGGTATGTGGGAGATGCAGCACAGGAGCCTGATGTTGATGGCCTGTAGGACAAAAAAGCAAATGGATTAAAGATAGTTTTGCCCATTTGTAATTTTGCATGTCTGGATTGCACTAGTATGACTCAGAGAAATACTTATTTTATCATATATAAATGATAGTGATTTTAAGTTATTTCACAGTTCCTTTTTGAACATGAAGTATGTTCACATCTTTTTCTAAAGACATATTTATACCCTTTAGTTTAGAGTTTTTGAGTTCTTGTTGGATTCTGTACGAGGCACTGTGCCATCCTATTCTCAGTGATTTTATTACTAGTTAGGAAGGTAAGAGTAGCAGGTATGGTGCAATGTAAGAATATTGTGAATGACTGCATGCTGACATGTAGCTTAGCAAATGATTACATGACTGTGTAGCTTACAAATGGAGTTATTATTCTGGGGTAAAGCAGTTAGCAGAAGTGATGAGGGAATTGAGTCTCTGGGTTTTGAAGCCTGGGTGGTTTTTCTAAAAATGAACATAAAAGAGACAAATCTTCTATGAAGCATTAACAGGCAATGTGAGGTAGGAGGTGGCATTGTGTTTAGAAGGATAAGTGGAGAGGACTGTGCACCTACTTCCTAGCAAAACTAAAAGTATACACTTCTCTGTTGCCATGAAGAGATTCATATTTTCTGTGTCTCTGAGTGAATAGTTGGTTATTTTATACCCTTTGAAAGCTAGAAAATATATTTTATGATTTTTTATTAAAAATTTCCAAAGTAACATTGTTCTCTTAGGAAGAAAGTGATTTCATGAATTATGTTACTCTCAGAAAAGTAGTTAGTAGGGCTGGGAATGTGGCTCAAGCGGTAGCGTGCTTGCCTGGCATGCGTGTGGCCTGGGTTCGATCCTCAGCATCACATACAAAGATGTTGTGTCCGCCGAAAACTAAAAAAAATACATATTAAAAAAATTTTCTCTCTCTCCCGCTCTCTCTCTCTTTAAAAAAAAAAAAAGAAAAGTGGTTAGTAACCTTTTTTTCCCTCTTTTTGTGTATGTGTGTGTGGTGCTGGGGATTGAACCCAGGGCCTTGTGCATGTGAGGAAAGCACTCTACCAACTGAGCTATATCCCCAGCCCCCCTTTTTTGCCTTTTAAAAATAGGATTAAAAGGGTAAAATTAATACCTAACAAAGGAACTGAGACCGACAATGACAATGATGCCAGTTGTCTCCATCCTATCATGAAGAAGAGACAGTGTCGACCAGATATGAAAATGTGGCAAACAAGAGAGAAAACAAAATTGGCAGATGGAGACAAGTGCCGTAGGGTAAGATCTAGATGGGTATAACAAAATCTTTTTTTTTTCCTGTGTAAGATATTAGTATTCTTAGACTTTGCTAATGATACAAAATAGACACTAATAAGTTTGTAAGTTTGTCCTAACAAGTGGTAAAACCACAGGTTATGAGAAAGAAAATATTGATTTAATGAACAGAATAGTGAAGAGGTTGCTGTGTCATATTCCAGAGAGGCAGTGATTGTATAATGAGGGCTTGGGAAACTGCTTTCTAGGTTTGGGAGTAGGTGGTTTGCTCTGTGTCTATAACTAACTACACTTACTCTACAATCTTGAATTGTTTTCTTGTCTTTTAGACTGTGGCATTTAGTCTAATATCTATTGAGCCATTGCTACAGCTCAGCCTTGTTCTAAGCGCTTTACTTCCCTTTTTTCAGTAACCCTAGGAGATAGGTGCTTTTATTATCATTACTTTTCAGATGAGGAAACTGAGTCCCAGAGGTATGTAGCTAGTAAGCGGAAGAGCTGGGACTGGGGCTTGGAGTTTGACCTGATCTTGCTTTCTAACTACGGCTCAACACTGCCTCGTTGTCTAGGCTGTTTAGTTTTGGTTTGTTTACTTTTACTGCTTGGTAGTTGATACACGTTTTTTGTTTTGCATGTGCAACTTACTAGTGTCTTTCGGGCTGTCCCCTGTGAAGGCATTGCTGTTCTCTTTGTAGGAGGCTTACAGGCGTTTGGGTAATGGGATTTCAGATGATCTGTCAAGCGAGGAGGATGGTGAAGAAGCACGGACACAGATGATACTGTTGCGGAGGAGTGTGGAAGGGGCCTCAAGTGACAATGGCTGTGAAGTTAAGAATAGAAAATCAATACTTTCAAAGCACCTAAACTCTCAGGTAATTTTAATTTTTGTTCATAAAAAAAGTAAAGGAGTTTATTCCTAAATCATTGAATAGTAACAAGGTGTTTAACATGTTTTCTAGTTGTTTGTTGGTTTGATTTTTTTGTAGGTAAAGAAAACCACTACAAGGTGGTGTCATATAGTACGAGATTCAGATAGTGTGGCTGAATCAGAATTTGAATCAGCAGCCTTCAGCCAGGTAAAGCATCCTTCGAGAGATCAGAACTCGAGGTGTATTCTTGTGTGTAATAATTACTCATTTCCTTTTTTGTAGGTTGCCTTAAAGTAGTGTTTATGTGTGCCTAACCTTCCCCCATTTCTAATTATCCACCGATTTATCTAGTGACTTTTAGATGACTATTCACCCCTAGAAAGAGAATGCATTCTTTTTCACTTTGAGTCTAATTTTAAAAGGATCATGATGATGCTCAAAAAGAGGTTACTCAATCCCTACGTGATGATATTACTTAGTATTTTTTTGGAATGTGAAGTTTATTCTTAAGTGGGGTCAACGCTGTTAAGGTCAGATTTTTGAGAAAGGATCTCTTTCCTTTCTCAAAGAAAGATGGGAGCAGTGAGACAATTTTCATCAAGGAAGCTAATAAGGATATTTGGAATATGATTTCAGAGGTGAGCAGAGTAGATGGTGATGTGTTTTTTTTTTTTTCTTTTGATGGACAAGACAATTGGGCTCATGGAAAAACCTCTCACTTATGTTTATAACTGCAGAAGAGTGGCATCATCTGCTTTTCTCTGCTCGATTATGCTTTTAACATGTTGAGATTGGGCTCTTGGACATGACTAGGTCTACAGTTAAGCTTATGATGATTAGAGTAGGGGATACCAAGTGTGTCAAAAGGCTCAGCCAACCCCATCAGGCAGGCCCACTGGGTGTGCACACAGGAGTCATTCCCACAACAGGATGATTGAGTTGAACAGTCCTATGACTTGGTAATGACTTCTTAGAGTTCTTTTAAGGTCCTGCTTACTGGGTCATCAGAGTTTTAACACTGAAATGTTAAAATGTATTATATGAATCCTTGTGAGTAAATGAATATATGGCGATCGGCTCATGGAAGCATGATACCCATTGCCATAGATAACTTGTTTTAACTTTATTTCAGATATATGATTGTTTTTAAAAATGAATGAAACATTTTTTTTCAAAAATTCTCATTTTAAGTGCTCTAGATCTGGTGTGAGTGGTGGCTCTCGAAGCCTCAACTTGTCAAGAAGAGACTCAGAAAGCACCCGCCATGACTCAGAGACTGAGGATATGTTATGGGATGACCTGCTGCATGGTCCAGAGTGTCGGTCATCTGTCACCAGTGACAGTGAGGGGGCCCATGTGAACACTCTTCACTCAGGGACCAAACGTGACCCCAAAGAAGATGTTTTCCAGCAGGTGTGTGAAAGCAGCAATCATAATAACTGATGTTTATAAGGTACTTACCATGTGTCAGGCACAACATAGTCTCACTTAACTTCAGAGTAATCCTATACTGTAATACCCAGTTTGGAAATTGAACACAGCTTAAACATGATGGTGTTGGGATGAAAACTCAAGGAAAATACTTTAGAGTTGCCCCAAACTCAGTTTTTTTCATTTTCCTTTTAGTGATTGTTAATATTCAATTTATATAAGAAGGGTTGTTTGATCAGCATGTCTGCCTTGTGCTATATTTTCAAAAACATTGTAATAATAGATATGAATTATTAGGAAATGGCATCATTTGCTTCTCTAGTAATGCATAAATCAAGAGGTGCTTTTAATTTCAGGTTTTATATTAATCATAAAATCAAATAATTCTCAAATTTGAGAGCGCTCTTAGAAGATATTCAATCCAGGCATTCATCCCACATCTGTAGAAAAATATTTTTTTCTGCCATTTGTCACATGGTGATAATAGTTCTTTTTTTTTTTAAAGAGAGAGAGAATTTGAATATTTATTTTTTAGTTTTCGGCGGACACAACATCCTTGTTTGTATGTTGTGTTGAGGATCGAACCCGGGCCGCACGCATGGCAGGCGAGCACGCTACCGCTTGAGCCACATCCCCAGCCCAATAGTTCTTACTTCTTAGGAATATTGTGAGATAGAGTGCTTGGCACAGTGCCTGGCAAGAGTACAACCCAATAAATGTTCGTATTGTTATGAACATCCCTATCGGATGGACAGTCAGACTCTGCTTAAAACATCTGGAGCTGGATGCTTGTTAAGTCCTGAGACAGCCTGTGCCACTGCTGGATAGATGAATGGTCAGGAAGAGGTTTTCAGCTCACCCTTTCAGATGTTTAATGATAGTGGTTATACTTCTTAATTTTGTTGTTCTTTTGCCTTAATGTTTTCACATTGCCTAGCAAATAGTAGTGGATGATAGATATACATTTGTTTAATTATTGAATTTTCTTGATCCTAAGATACCATTGATTTAGATCACACACATTCTGTCCTTCTCTACCCACCGCCCTCGCCCAATACAACCCCCAAAATCCTGCTTCAAGCTGGGCACAGTGTTACACCTCTATAATCCCTGTGACTTAGGTGACTAAGTGAGGAGGATTGCAAGTTTTTGATCAATCTCAGTAGCTTAGTAAGACTCTGTCTTAAAGTAAAAAAATAAAAAGGGCTGGAGACATAGCTTAGTGGTAGAGCACCCCTGAATTCAATTCCCAGTACTGGAAACAAATAAGCAAAAAATTCACTTCATTAAATGTGTACAATTTTTAAAAATCTAACCAGAAATAGCATTCATTGAAGTCTTGCTTTTTCTAAGCTTTCTATCAGTTTGACTAAATGTTCTGCACATTCATTCTAAAGGCTCATCTAAATCACATGGACCCTCAGTAGTAGCACATAGTGTCTAAGACACATCAAAGAATAATTGTGAGAGATAAACTCAGCCATGTCAGAAAGAATTCATCATTTCCCAGTTCCCACCCACAAACTCTTTTTTTTTCCTCCCCTTGTGTTTCTGAACTACCCAAAGCAAAGCCTCAGAGACATTCTAGATCCCACTGTCTGCACCCGTGATCAGTCACCTCAGGTCTGACAATCTGAATATCTGTGTGCTTGCGTCCACCTGTTCTCTCATCTCCATCCTCATAGCAGCTTCTCTAGCCACCCACATCCCCCTTTCTTTCGTTTTCCTCATTACAGCCAGTGATGCTTCTGAAATTCAGATCTAATAATGCCACTTTCCTTAAAATCCTTTTTTATTCCTTTTAGGTTTCTGTCCTTTATTTATTCTAATATAGTCTGATCTCTAACCCTCTCTGCTCTTAACATGGTGTTCCTTTTTTCTAAAAATGTTTTTTCTTAGATGTAGGTGGACACGATACCTTTGTCTTATTTGTTTATTTTTCTGTGGCGCTGAGGATCAAATCCAGTGCCTCACATGTGCGAGGTAAGCACTCTACCACTGAGCTCCAGCCCCAGCCCTCACGTGGTGTTCCTTAACTCAACTGAACTCTTTTCCATTTCTGATACATTCCTGCTCTTGTGTGCTTTGGTCTTTTACACATATGGCTTTTGTTTTCTTGGGATACGTTCTTCTTTAATACCCATTCCTGAACTCACTCTTTTTTATTTTTTTCCTTTTTTTTTTTTTTTTCAGTATTGGAGAGTAAATCCAGGTGCATTCGTCCCTTGAGCTATATTTCCAGCCCTGTTTATTTTTTATTTTGAGACAGACTCATTAAGTTGCTGAGGCTGGCCTTGAATTTGGGATCCTCCTGCCTCAGCCTCCTGAGAAACTGGAATTACAGACATGTGCCACTGCACCCACTCTTTTTTTGTTTTTCAGGCAGGTCTTGACGGGAATGACACATCTCTTCAGGAAACTTTCTTACTCTTTCCTTTCTTTACCATCCTGTTAAAGGGACTTTAATTATGTCTCCTTCAGAAGCCCATATGCTTCTCAATAGCAAGGACATGCATCTTGTTCTCTTTTGTATCCAGAGTTACATAGTAAGTGCTTAATAAATATTTGTTGGATAAATCAGTGAATCAATGAGTAAAATCAATACATGCTAATCAGCATTATGCTAAGCATCATGACAGAGAACAAATATACCATGTGGTCCATTTCTGGAAACTTATATTTCAGTTTGGGGACACAGTGATTATATAGGAAATAAGTAGAGGATGCTATAAAAGCATTGTATAATTAGATGCTAATTTATCTCATACAGACTATAAGCATGTTGAAGAAGGGCAAAATTAGTAAGGTACGTGATTGTTGAGAGGACCGAATTGGTAAAACTGTGCTCGAGCTGGTACCGGAGAACAGGACATGCTCCGACAGAGGAGGATGGGGTCTGTTTTCTTTGTGGCTGTCTCCTTTTGAGCTCAAGTGCTTTGTGCTTTTCTGTGTCCTGGTTAGACCAGAGAAAGGCTTGAGTCCTCAATTATTCCTTCGGTCTGTAAGGCTCCTAGCACCTCCCCTACTGTATTTATTGCTGCTTCCACTGTAATCTGGTTGCTCTAGACATCCTTCTTCCTTCGCAACCCTTGAATGCATTAAGGTCTGCCTCACTGGCGTACCTTTAGAGAGGGAAGCAACCTTGGAAGTCGAGGAATCCTACCACTCCTCATTATAGAAGACAATTAGCCTCCCCCAGACAAAAAAATGGTTTAATAAAGAAAACATAACTAGAAATCTTCATCATATAGGTGGTTATTCGAGTGATGAGCTCTGTAAGAGAAGATAGACTGATGAATCTGACCATTGCTGAGTATAGCCTGGGAGCTGGACCGAGGGTAAGAAAAACTAATGACAGGAGGAGTGGTTGGAAACAATTTTATATTTTTCTTCCCAGAACCATTTATTCTGGCTTCAGAACTCAAGTCCTGCCTCTGATCGAGTTAGTGCAATAATCTGGGAAGGAAATGAATGCAAGAAGATGGATATGTCTGTATTGGAAATAAGTGGCATCATCATGAGCAGGGTAAGAGAAAATAAATTTTCAAGAAAAACTATTTAGGGGTCAGCTATTTCATAGGAATCTACTTAGTGATAAAACAATATGAGTGGTCTTTTTTGTTGTTTCTTTTGTGATGCTGGGATTAAATCCTCATACATTCTAGGCAAGCACTCTGCCTTTGAACTGTAACCCCAGCCTTGTGACTCTGCTTTTGAAACACAGATATGTAGTTTTAATTTTGTAGTCAGTCTTTACTTGGTGGTAGTTTTTATTTTATTTAACCCAGAAGTGATTAACCTTTTTTGCCACATTCCCAGGTGGTAGTTTTTATTTTATTTATTTATCTATTTATTTATTTATTTATTTATTGTACTGGTGATTTAACCCAGAAGTGTTTAACCTTTTTTGTCACATTCCCAGCCCTTTTTGTATTTTATTTCAAGACAGGATCTCACTAAGTTGCTTAGGGCTTCACTAAGTTGTTGAGGCTGGCTTTGAACTCATGATCCTCCTGCCTCAGCCTGCCGAGTGGCTGGGATTATAGGTGTGTGCTGCTGTGCTCAGCATGGTAGTAGTTTTTAATTTGTTACATGTTCTCAGCATGGTCAGTTGTTCAGGTGTGCTCTACAAATATTCCTTATCTCATTTGAGCCTAATTGGTAATAAGTTGTAAATCTATGTCTGGTTTTGTTCTGTTTGGTGCTGGGGATTGAACCAGGACCTCATGCATGCTCAGCATGTGCTGTGTCAGTGGGTTTACATTCCCTAGCCCAAATGTATTCCATTTTTATTTGTACTTCTTTGAAGTATTTTTGTTTTAAATAGCATTTGATAAATACTTCATAACTTCATTTCACTATGCAATAATAATGGAGTGTTAAATTAATTTCCAGGTTAATGCATATCAGCAAGGAGTAGGTTATCAAATGCTGGGGAATGTCGTCACCATTGGATTAGCATTTTTTCCTTTTTTACATCGACTTTTCCATGAGAAGAGCTTTGACCAACTGAAGTCTATTTCAGCTGAGGAGATCTTGACTCTCTTTTGTGGAGCACCACCTGTTACACCTATTGTTGTTTTGTCTATAATTAATTTTTTTGAAAGATTGTGTCTTACTTGGATGTTTTTTTTCATGATGTGTGTGGCAGAGAGAACATATAAACAGGTCAGTGAACAAGTACATAAAATTTCATACCTCTGTTTTTGTGTGTGATATTCCATTGAGATTTGTTCTCTTGATTTTGGTATATATGGGTTTAACATTTGTGTTATTGACAGTTTATAGTTGTGGACTTAGGAGTTAGTATATTGGTGATATGCACAAGAAATGTGATTTTGTATGGAAATACTATTTGGAAATAAGCCAGAATAATGTGCAAACACTTGAGTTTGTGAAGTTGAGGATTTACCAATAGTTTCCAAAGAATATTCCTTGTGAATGTCAAGAGTATATACCAATTTATACAGTGGTATTTTGTTATATAATGTGCTTTGAATGAGACAGGGTAATTGAGCTATTAATGACGTTTTTTCATTGCCCATCTTAGTGGTCACGATAAAAATTTCATTCTTTTTAACATTTAAAGATTTCAAAAATATTGTTGTTATATAAATATGCATGCAGAGATATATTTGTATATTTCACTCTGATTTTTTTAACCTCCTATAGAGATTTTTATTTGCAAAACTCTTCAGCCATATTACTTCTGCCAGGAAAGCTAGGAAATATGAAATACCTCATTTCAGACTTAAAAAGGTGGAGAACATTAAAATATGGCTATCACTGCGTTCCTATCTAAAGGTGAGTTCTATTTGATTAACAATAGAATATATGCAGGAATACACAAGAGAATGTATTCATTTAAGTTTCTAGCAGCAGCTCCTTGGGCAGTATAGTTCTGGGTATTGAACAGATTATATCAGTAGCCAAGACTTTCTGGGTACCAAGTTGGATGGATGTGTTGGTGAAACTGCTGGGGGGTAAAATAAAGACTCAGAAAGGGAAGAGAAAATTTAAGTTTCCTAGGGAAGAGTAATAAATATTGCATATCTTTCTGACTTTTGGGGATATAATACAACTAAAATTGTGTGAATGAATCAATTAACCTCTTGGTATGGGAAGGTATGGGTTTCATTGTTTGAATTGATAATGCCCAAAGTATATTAAAAATCCGGTGTCAGAAACTTCTTATGTTGGAAGCAATGTCTACTGTATATTTTTGTTGACCATGCCAATTTAATTAGAATTCCCTGTAACTAAAATGCTATCTTTTCCTTATGGAAAGGCATTTTAGTGTGGTTTATGTATAATGTTAAATAAAGAATATTTAATACTTCTCACATTTTATAGTTGGTCTGTAAGTTCAGATGCTTTGAAGTCAGCACAGTGCAATAGCAATGTAGACTTTACTTTTTAATTCTTTACTTTCTAAGACTAAGTTATAATTTAGGGTGTCTTTAAACAATTATTCAAAAACACAATACTGTGGAACATCTGTGTATGTGTAGTTGGTAGTGATGCTTTTTGCCAACTCATTAAATGGAAAGATTAAAGTAAAGGATATATATCATCAGTACAAATTTGCAAATTGTGTGACTGTAAAATTTAAGATAATTAAAAACAATCACAAATCTTGGAAAAACAAAAACAAAAAGAAACTTATGTGGTAAAATTCAGAGTTTTAATGTTGTGAGGGCTGTGGCTGTCTGACAGTAATCTAAAACATTACCATGTGTCTTTCTCCACAGAGACGGGGTCCACAGCGTTCAGTTGATGTGGTTGTATCTTCCGTCTTCTTACTGACACTTTCAATTGCTTTCATTTGTTGTGCCCAGGTAAAGGTTTCATATCTGCTTTAATGAAAAATGGAAATTCTATTATAGGGTTCATTTTCTTTTTTAAACCAGGTCATCCTGTATTTAAGTATACATTTTTAAATATGTCCACATGTCTTTTGTGATTTTGGATACTTGTTAATTTTTCTAGTTTTTTTGAAATGAGTATACAGGTGATTTTGAAGTCCTTTAGTCCTTCAGCCCAAGTTTTAGTTGCATTGCTCACATTGTCTCTGTCCTTACTCATTTTTTGGTTTGCTTCTTCTATCGTCTATCAGTAGAGGTATGTTCAGGTCAACTATGATTCATTGTGGATTTGTCTGTCTGGTTTTTCTTTTATTCCTGTCCATTTTTGCTTTATGTACTTTGAGGCTGTAATGGGTATATCCAGATTTAGAATTATTAGCCATCTTATTTGTGGATTGCTGTTTATGTCCTATTTATAGGTGTTGTTTTTACTATTGATTTTTCCTGAATCCAGGATCCAATTCAGAGGCACATATTGCATTTCATTGTCACGTCTCTGCAGCCTCTTTAATCTGGAAAAGTGTTAGGCATTTCCTTTTTTTTTTTTTCCTTCTGTGACCCTACAGAATGTCTCCATTTCTAATGTTTCTGCTTGATTTGGTATTAACTACATCAGCTGTGTTTTGGTTGTTTTATATTTTTACCTATCTATGTTCATTTTGGGAGTCTCACATTCTAGGTGTGTGTCTCTATGATTAGTATTTTCTTTTCTGGTTGCTTTTGTCTTAATCCAGCCTCACAGTGTTTGGATGTATGTGGCCCACTAAAACTTCACATAATTACTGTGACTACAGATACTATTTGGTATCTGTTTGATCCACCTGTTAATTTTCCTTTTTCTCCCCTCTTGTCATCTTTTTACTAATCAAATATTCCTTAATATTCCATTTAATTCTCTCCATTAATGTATTAATGTTTAGTAATATGAGAGATTAATTTATTGAAGTCTAATAAAATGAGTCTAATAAAATGATTAATTATAGCTTCCTTGATAGTGCTAAACCTTGGAATACTTTGTATCATTTACTCCTTCATCTTTTGTATTATTGTCCATTATTTTAATTTTATATATATTTTAAACCCCCAAAATGTGATTACTTTTTTTGCATGTAGTCAATTTATATACTCACATATTTATTGTTTTCATTACTTCTTATATTTCTGTGTTTCTCTAGGATTATTTTCTTCCTCCATGAATAACTTCTTTGTAATTTATTTTAGTACTAGTCTGCTGGTGATGAGCTCTCTGTTTTTGCTTATTTGAAATATCTTTTATCACTTTCATTTTTGAAGGATATTATTTACTGGGAAAGGATTATAGGTTGCCAATTAGTTTCTTCCTGTGTTTTTAGGATTCTCTATCTTCTAATTTCCTTATTTTATCTTGACAAGTTAGCTGTCAGTTTTTTTTTAGTTAGTTTTTTGTTGTTGTTGTTTTGTACTGGGGATTGAATCCAGGGGCAACTTACCCCTGAGCTACTGAGCTATATTCCCAGCCCATTAAGAGACAGGTTCTTGAGATTGCTTGAAGTTGCTGAGGCTGGCCTTGAACTTGCAATCTTCCTGCTTCAGTTTTCTGAGCTGCTGGGATTATATGTGTGCTGAAAGTTGTTAGCCTTATTGCTGGTCTTTAAAAATAAATGTTCTTTTTCTCTGGCTTATTTTAATAATTTTTCTTCACGTTTGATTTTGTAGCAGTTTGGTAATGATTTGTATATTAATTATCTATTGTTGAGCAACAAATAGTGTAACCTTTCTGAACAGGTAGGCATATTTTGCTACTAGTTGTTACTTTCCTCCTTATAGTTACAACTAATTGTCATGGATGAGCCTGACCCAGACTGAGCTAAATGTATTCTTTGTTTTGGAAAATTAGAACTAAGAACCTGAGATATCAGTGATGGATTTTGGAGAATGAAGGTCAGAAAGGGTCCGTGGGTAAGGTGCCAGACAAAAAAAATTTCCAAAGTTGGCTTAAGCCAGAGTTAATGGGGAAGCAGAAAACACGAGTCCTGTAAGGCCATGGTCAAGAGGTGTAGATGGGAGCTTGACTGGTTCTAAGCAGGGAAAGATGGAGAGGGCAGCTGCTGGGTGACTTCCTCTCTTTCAAAAGCTTGCATTTGATTTCTCTGAGTTCTCTGTATACTTTTCAATAAATTATTTTGCCTTGGACTTACTTGGATAAATTACTTTTAAAAGAAATTTTAAAAACAATAAAACTTTCATCAGAAAACTTGATGTATAAGGGCTTGGGATGCAGCTCAGTGACAGAGTGCTTGCCCAGCATGAGCAAGGCCTGGGTTTCATCCCCAGCACCATAAAAACAAAAGAAAAACAAACAACCTGACACATTATAGGCACCCAATAAATTACAGATTCTGCTGCTATTATTTGGAATGCAGAACTGATTCTTAGGATTTCCTAGTAATACCAGTGTGATGGATCACACATTTTGGGGAGCTCATTAGACATAATGCAGATTTAATACTTTGAACAATGGTTACCAAATACTTGTGAGTGGGCAATGGTGGTTAAGGTAGCTGCAAATGCATCCGTCTTGTTTTACCTACTGTATTATGTTTTTCTTCTTTGTTACTGTTAGACCCTTGCTGTCTTTCATGAAAAGGAAAAGTATCTAGGAAACTTTAAAGAAATATATATGGTTAGTTAAATAGAAAATACTTTATGAGGATCGAAATAATGAATTCTAAGTATTAAAATATTGAACTCTTTAAAATGTTTTAAAATTAAAAAAGGAGTAATTATATGATTTTAAGACAAATTAAAAACTGAACTTTTCTTGGGTCTTTTTATAGGTTCTCCAAGGACATAAAACTTTCTTGAACGATGCTTATAACTGGGAGTTTTTGATTTGGGAAACAGCTTTATTACTTTTTTTACTGCGCCTGGCCTCACTGGGGTCTGAAACCAATAAGAAATACAGCAATGTTTCCATATTACTTACTGAACAGGTATTGATGGTCTTTTCAGTTTTGCTCAGTGGTTAGAGATGGCATAATGCACTGTAAAATTTATGCTGCAGATTCAGGGTTGGATCACTATCTGACTTTCTAGCTGTATGATCTCACAAGTCACTTTGCTGCTCTGTAATTGTATAATCTTTATATAATGGATATAATATAAAATCTTCCCTTCACACCCCCATGATTGTGAGAATTATAATCTAAGGGATTGAAAATACTTTGTATACTATAAAGGTATTTTACTGGTAGTAATGGAGCATGTTCCCCCCCGCCCCCAGAGTAGGAATTGAAAACCAAGGGCTATTTACCACTGAGCTACATCTCTAGCCCTTTGTATTTTGAGATGGTCTCACTAAGCTGCTGAGGCTGGCCTTGTACTTGAGATTCTTTTGCCTCAGCCTCTCTAGAGCTGGGATTATAGACCTGTGCCAAGGGGCATGGCTTGGAGCTTGCTCTTAATCTCATACTCTATATCTAGTGTTGGGTTTTATTTGTTTATCTTTTTGGGTACCCGGAATTGAACTAAGGGACACTCGACTACTAAGCCACATCCCCTATTTTATTTAGAGTCAGAGTCTCATTGAGTTGCTTAGTGCCTCACTTTTGCTGAGGCTGGCTTTGAACTTGTGATCCTCCTGCCTCAGCCTTCTGAGCTGCTGGGATTACAGGAATGTGCCACCATGCCCGGCTTGGATCTGTAGATTACTTATCATTTAACCTGTTAAATCTTTTGAATTTCTTTATCAGCTATAGAATACATATCATTTCAGTGTTTAGAAAATGTGTATTTTTCAGTATGTGATATATATAATAAGATTGAGAAATGTTTCTTGTAAATACAGAGTAGTATAAGGTGATTTCTTCTTAACTTGGATTTTAATTTCAAGCTTATTTATAAACTTGTTAAGTAAAAACATTTGGAATCATTAGTTTTTTTGTTTGTTGCCTTAGAATCATAGTGGAGATTTCTTTCTCTAAGAAAAAAAAAAAAAGGAATTAGCAAGTTGAAAGCAGCTATTTTCTTTCTTTCTACAATGTTTAATGAGGATATTAAATTATTTAGGGGGTACTGAGATTAATAAAATAGTTTTTGAATTCAAGGAGTCTTCATGATAATTATAATTAATTTAAATATTTTCATTGTTTTGATATTTAAATTGCTTCATCATTACTGGTATTTTCTTTATTAAGTAGTTTTTCTTTGCCAAAGGGCCACTGATTAGGGATGGGGGCTAGGGTGCATGACATATGTTTTCTGTAGAAATAGTTGCAATTTTTCAAGTAAAGTTCATTTTACTTGAAAACATGGCCCTCAAAATCTGTCAGATTTTATGCAGTATAATATATACGTATCCTTTCTGTGAAATTTATCATATTCTCTATTCCTTCCCTTAGATTAATTTATATCTTAAAATGGAAAAAAAGCCAAATAAGAAAGAGCAGCTCACTCTAGTAAACAACGTATTAAAGCTGTCCACCAAGTTGTTAAAAGTAAGTACTATCTTATGAGATGATTTGACTGCAATTTAAATTAAGTCGGCTTGTTCTCTGAGAAACAGCAAATGGTGAGGTGCCCTGGAGCCAAGGTGTCAAGGGTCAAGGTGGAGGTCAGGGCCAGAGCTTCTGGAGGCAGGACTGAAGGAAAAGAGTGACTCGCCATCACTACATTGGGCCACATGGTGGAAAACAAGCAGCACATGTTCACAGAGGAGCTCTGATCTGCCTCTCTTCCCTGTCTGCAGAATCAGAGGTCATTGACTTTTTTCTGGGGACATCTCTGACAGATGAAGTTTTGCCTGACCCACGCTGGCCTGCAGACCAGGTTATTACCATCAGGGACTGAATTAGCCATGTTGGCTGGGTGTTGGTGCTCCAGGGAGGTTATCAACATGGTCAAGTTCTCTGTCATCCTTGTGGGGCGAGGCTGCTGGAGGAACAAGGTAGCAAGCCTCCCGATGCCCTTGCAAGGGCACTGGCTGCTGTGCCCCTGTCAGCGGCCCCATCCCTGCTCCCAGAGGTGCTAGCGTTGTCTGGGCCTCGATGCCCCAAAGCTGCTGCCAACGACTGGTATCCATCCCTGCAGGGGCTGCAGGGTCAGGGGCTGCACTGTCACCCTGGCACACTTCACAGGGCCACCCTTGATGCAGTGTGGAAGATCCTCAGCTGTCCCATTCCTGATGTGTTTACCTGTCTATCAGGAATTCTCCACCAAGGCCTCCAGGCACACACCAGAGTCTGCACAGAGGACCCGGGCTCCAGTTGTGGCCACCACATAGTGTTTTATATAAGAAAAATAAAGTGAATTAAGCTTGTTTTTGATTAATGAATTAAATCAATACTTCTTAGAAAAGACCCTAACAACAAATAGGTACAGGCTAGATTCAAAATGACAACTTGATGTTGGGGTTAATAAGTGTATAAGAAAAAGTTTCCAGTGTTATTACCCAGGTTCTGATGACTACTGATGTCTGTCATATTTTTTAAATTACTTTTTTTCCCCTCATGAATGACACATTGCTCCAATCAACCTTAAAAAGCTTAGGTTGTAGAAAAGTAGGTAAAAGTAGACTCTGGATTTCTTGAGGGTAGCTTTTAAGTACTAAGAAAAGATGTCCTGAAGCAGTCTCCCTCACCTGAGACTCAGAAACCAGCAAGAAATCACTGATGGCCTTTGAAAAACTGTCTTATTTCAGATTCTTGCATGTTTTTTTAGGAGCTGGACACGCCATTCAGACTCTATGGATTGACAATGAATCCCTTAATCTACAATATCACAAGAGTCGTCATCCTTTCTGCTGTCTCAGGAGTTATAAGTGACCTTCTAGGGTTTAACATAAGAGTAAGTGTGGCCTCCGCTCTGCAGCACCTTAGTCTTTTTTTCCTTCGGGGAGCTGTCTGAGTTTTATTTTACTTCTTTTATTAGAGTGTTCTGGCTGTGCCTTAGCAGCGCTGTATGTACTCCTGTGCTTGCAGCACCAGGAGAGCTCTTGAGGTAAAGCAACAGGCACTCTGCTGGGCGGCCCGCAGGCTTCTCAGCTTAGGTTTCGTCGTTTTACAACTATTTACAACTATTGTCTGATCCAAACCTCAAGTTTAATGTTACTTTAATAGCATGGGCTAGGTAATGGGCTTCTGATTGAGGGAGATATACAGAGGTAGAATGAATGAGAACTAACAACACATGACTACGGTGTGTCATTATTATTATTTTTTTCTTTTGGTACTGGGGATTGAACTCAGGGGCACTCGACCACTGAGCCACATCCCCAGCCCTGTTTTATATTTTATTTAGAGACAGAGTCTCACTGAGCTGCTTAGGGCCTCAATAAGTTGCTGAGGTTGGCTTTGAACTTGTGTTCCTCCTGCCTCAGCCTCCTGAGCTGCTGGGATTACATGTGTGCACCACTGTGCCTGGCTGTAGTGTTCCATTTTTAATCCTGGAATTTTTAATAGTTTTTCACTATGATGTTCTGTGGGTGCTGTTGCCAGAGTTGATATTTTTAAGGTTCTTGGTTCCTAGTCAGTGAGTAAACCTCTACATCCCATCTGTCTTAAAACTACCTTTTTTGGTGCTTTTCTTTTTTCAGCTGTGGAAAATTAAGTCATAAGCTGAGTCACGTGCCAGGACTCTCTCCTGGCAGGCATCAGTACTCACCCATCAAGGAAACAGATGACTGCAGAAGCCAGTTCAACACCCACCTGCGTGGCCACAAGCACAGGTGCTCTCAGCTCTGCCCAATCTAACAAAGGGTGTTCCCGGAGGAACAAGTCCTTTCTGCCCGTGTGTGCGTGCTGAGCACCTGCACTCTCATGGTTTTCAAACAATAGTCAGCAAACTAAAGACTGTGTGTGTTATGGTAACACAAGGGCAATTTCCTAAGTTAGGCAATTCATTCTGGGCATTTCAGTACTGTGATAGTTAAATTTACTGGATAGAGTCTTTTGGGTAACTATGTAGATGCCCAAAGCATGAAGCAAATATCTTTTACTGGAAATATGCAGATTCAGTACTTTTCTATTACCGTCTATAGAATTGGAGATTTCTCTATCACAGAGAACAAACAAACTATTTTAGGTTGAATCCAAATAAAAGAACTTTATTGGAGAATTTTGGTTTCTAGGCTTTCTTTTGTGGTTGAAAGAAAAAAAATAACATTTGAACTGACAGCTTCTACTCAATTGTGGAGAAATTTTTAATTAGCTTATGATTCTGAATTAATCCTAATAACTGTAGCTGTTGGTGAAAAGCTGTTGGTAAACTTTAGTATGAGAAATGTAAGTTCGTGCATTCATCCATGTCCATCCAACCTGGTTTCTGTGCTAATCTTGTGCAGCTTAACATGTCCAGCCGTCAGTACAATTTCAGGTTTTGGGTGTTTGTAATCAACAAGCCATGCCTTTGATGCTGAAGATTCTCTTATCAGTGCCCCCTATTACATACAGGTGCATATAAACATGTTAATGAAAACTTCAGCATTCTTGTTCATTAAGTTACCTGCTTTGAAGACTCTTTTGAAGCAGATTGAAAGCCTGAACATTTTAATGATGAGGTTTTGTGAAACTTGATTATTACATGTAAAGCATGTACTAATTTACCATCAGTGTATCAGTTACACATATTCTATATGCAGGGAGATCTGTGTGAGGCTTCAAGATAAATTTCTGAAGAGTTCAGGGATTGAGGTCAGATCTTTTCTGGGTTTAAAACCTCTTTCTGGGTTCAAATCCTTGGCCCTGATGATTATTAGCGTCATATCTGGGGCAAATTAACCTCTTTGTATTTCAATTTCCTCACCTGTTAAATATAATAACTACCTAATAGGGTTGTTATGGTTAAATGAGATTATCCTGTAAGGTTCTTAGCATGATGTAAAGAATTTAGCACTTAGTAAATCCACAGTAGACATTTGTTATTACTAAAGTTCTTCTAACAACTCACTTCGACAATAGAAACATGAAGCAAGGTTGATGAACTAGAAGTGGATCACCAACTATCTGCAGCCATTTTGAATGCTCATGGGAGTTGTAATTTTTTTTATGGTGAAGCTCTATAGTGATTTTTCTGTAGAAGGAACTGTTCTGTAGAGGTACTTCAACAGACAGTTCATAGAAACTCTGGCTTTACTATTTTCCCTGGGGAATAAGAATAATTGTCTCCAGTTCAAGACTGAGCTCAGTACAGATTTCAGATGAATAAAGCTGATGCTTTCATCTTTTTCCCCTACCAAAAAATTTGCTATTTTAATCTGCAACTTTTGCATAGTGAATTATAGTAGTTTCCTCTTGTGGGTTCCTTTAGCTATGATTTTGGTGGTATGTGTCTGGTTTCAGTTATTTTTCAGGTGGGTGAATTGTATGTAATTAATAGTTAATCATGTCAGAAACTTGGGAATCACTCTTGATTTCTTGCCCAAACCTCACATTCACTCACCAAGTCTGCATAATTATCTTTTGGATATTTTTCTGGTCAGTTCACTTTTCTCCCTTCCCACTGCCACTACCCTTGTGTATGTTGATATTCTTTTTTTTTTTTTTTGAATAATTTTCTGCTGGTTCTATTCTTACCTATTCATGGTTCCGCTCTTCCCCAAGCCCAATCCATTCTTCTCAAAAGGTTCTACATCTTCTGAAACATTGGTCTCATCATCTAGAATCTATGAATGGTTTACTGTCATTTTGAAAATAACCAAAGTATATAGGGTCACTCTGTTGAGAAATAGTTTGAATCTTTACACTGAAAGTATATTTTGGGGGATCTGAGGCTGTGGTTCAGTGGCAGAGTGCTTGCCTGGCATGTGTGAGGCACTGGGTTCGATTCTCAGCACCACATATAAACAAACGAATAAAATAAAGGTCCATACATCTAAAAAATTTTTTTAAAAATATTTTTGCTGAGTATAAAATTCTAGATTTAAAAATGGGATTGATTCCTTGCTTCCTGCATTTTGTCATTTCTGAGAAGTTTGCTTCATTTTGTAATTTTGTGTTTTAAAAATCACTTTTATTTCTGTTCATTTTTTAAAAACTGCTGTTCAGATTTTTATTTTTTTATTTTATTTTTTGAGAGAGAAAGAGAGAGAGAGAATTTTTTAATATTTATTTTTCAGTTTTTGGTGGATACAACATCTTTATTTTATGTGGTGCTGAGGATTGAACCCAGTGTCCCCGTGTATGCTAGGTAAGCGCGTCACCGCTTGAGCCACATCCCCAACCCCAGATTTTTATTTTTCTACTATTGAATTTGTACAATTTAATTGTAATGTGTATCTGGTATAGTTTTCTTCATGATTTTTGTTTAGGTTTGTTGGACTTACTGAATCTTTGGGTTTATAGTTTTCATATTTTATATTTTCACAAGCAGTTATTGGAAACAGCTTCATCATTTCAAGGCTTGTTTTTATAAGCTTTGTTAGGTGGGCCACACGGTCTTTAGGGCTACCTTTCTCCATGCTGAGGCAGTATCCTTCTGAGTATTGTACCTCATACTGTTCATTATGAGGTCTTTTCCACTTTGGCTGTGGGAACGTGTAAAGTGATTGTGTGAGCTTCAGCCACTTTCCTGCCTGCTCTCCTTTGTGGCAATTCTGTCTCTGTCTCTGGGTACTTCCCCAGGTGCTCAGGCTGGTCCATCCTCAGCTAGGACCTGAAAGGAACTCTCTGCATTCCCCTGGGGCGCTCTCCTCCAGCTGAAGCTGCTGCTTTCTGGTGCTCCTCCTCAGCCACCCTGGCCCACATTCTCAGTTCTGTTTCCTCAGCTCGGCAAGCCTACGAGCTTCTGTTTGGGTCCTCCCTTTCCCAGCTGCCACTAGGCAGTTATCTGGAGCATTCATGGGGTGCACCTTAATTCCATTACCTTGTGTTGCCTGTGTCCAATATTCATTTCTTCACATTTGTTTCGGCTATTTTAAGGAGGAGAGCAAATGTTTTCTCCACCTTAAGTGATACAAAGTTTACCCAGTTGCTCAAGTCAAAGGCTCCTTATCTGATCCAAGTGGAGTCACTTGGCATTCCCACCTGACTAGGTTAAACCTCCCTCACAGTCACCTGGTCTGCTGCCATTATTACCTGCTACAGTCAGTTCTCCCCAGCATGATTGAGCTTAAAACATGGAAATATATTTCCATCATTCCTATTTAAACCTTTCCTGGCTTCTGTGTGGTTGCCTCCAAGGCCCTTCTCTATTAGGCCTGCTTCTCGACCAACTTGATGCCCCTTCATTTACAGCCTCACTTCTCCTTACCTATGTCAAAGGACAGGGGTCAGATGAGGTTCTTTCAAGGGGGCAGTGGCACCTCCACTTGGCCTGCTTAACTTACACTGTTGAAAAGAATTCCTGGATGTGTCGGAAGCGAGGCACATGCAAACTTATTTAAGAACATCAAAGGTAAACTTACCCCAAAGGCTGGATGTGTATGGCCCTCACCTCTCAGTGCTGTGCCCAGAATTGAGCTCTCTGATTATATGTATGATTTTCCTGGCAAGAAATGTACAGGTTCTCAGGAAAACTTCTTTGAAAATTAAATCCCATGACACTCATTTGATATTTGGGGTTCACAATGTTCTTTTTGGTTAAGTAGTTTAGCTGCATGTCAGATGCAGGCATATTATGTAAATCTTTGAATCTGTTGACATTTCAGTTGATTATGGTTTTATTCTAGTTCATCTGTTATGTGCATATGCTGAAGGTTTTGTTTATCTACCTCAAGTGTCATGCTTGTAGATCTGGGTCTCCATCCTCCTTCACTTCCCAAGAGCCTACCTAGCTCATGACCACCACAACTTAATACACCAAGTTCTTTCTCACTGTTAGACTTTTGAAAGTTTTTTTCTTTTGTATTGGGGATTGAACCCAGGGATGTTTACCACTGAGCCACATCCCTACCCTTTTTTATTTTAAAACCAGATCTTGTTAAGTTGCTTAGGGCTTTGCTAAAGTTGCAGAGGCTGGCTGTGAACTTGCAATTCTCAACTCACAACTCCTTCTGATAACAGTGGGCCGTTATCAGTTGTATCACCCTGTCCATTTCCTTTTCATGGTCTTTATCATTTCTTTTTGCCTGCTTGTGTGTGTCTTTTTCACTAAAGTGTAAGCCCCTTGAAAGCAGGGATTTTTTCTTGTTCACTCCTAGGTTCCCAGAACACACATGACCTCAGGATAGAGGTGCTCAGTAAACATGTACAGGATGAATGAACAACAGACCTCTCGTCTGTTACCATTCATGTGACTTTTTTTTTTCTGTTATAATGGAAGAGTTATAATTCATGGTTCTCCTTAGTGTTTAATTTATCCCTATATAATTTCTAGAAAGTGGTGCTTTTGAACCCAAAAGGGATGAGATTTTGGTAATATTTACGTTACTGAGAAATTAAGCCAAGATGTAAAGCTAAAATTATGTTAAATTATTCAAATATTTAATTGGCATAGAAATAACCATTAAAGTGTAAGAAAAATTCCTATCAATTTAATATTTCAATCTGCTTTTGTAGTGGGGAAAACTATCCTTCCTACAGTTGTCATGGAGGTCTGATCTACATACTTCCCAAGTACAACTCTGGCCCATGTATAACGTAAACACTTGAGAAGTTGAATGACCAAATACTTGCCTAATTGGAGTATGGTTTTCTTGACTTTCAGGCCTAGGTGGAAAATTATAAATGCCAGGATGTTTCACAAAGTATAAATGTATGGGTTTGTCTTTACTTCTGGCTCACTGTATTTAGAAGCAAGTAGATCTCTGTACTGTAAAAATAATCCTTCAAGAAAATCAACTAAATGCATTTTTGAAAATTTTTAGATCAACACTCATAATAGGCCAGACAGGTCTTGCTCCAAAAGGTACTGTGTTGTTGGGGAATATTAAGAAGTGGAGCTTAATCTAATTATATATGTATTGTCTAGTAATTTTACCTTTTGCTTCTTACAGTTATTGGTGCCCATGTTGAATGATGTAGTTTAAATGTCTTGAGCGTGCAATGATTCTGTACCTCTCCTCAGAATATTCTGAGCCCATAAGCTGCAGGTGTTATCCAAGTTGACAAATGGTCATCCTTTACTAAGGACAGAAAAAGCTTCTTGTTTGTGAATTTGTTAATTGTTCT